GAGCTTTTTTCTCAATACTTCCACTCCTGTCCAGTTATTAACATACCAGGTGAAAACCATTCTTTTTTATTATCTTTAGGGGTTTGCTTTCGGTATCTCTGCTTGCAAAGTGTTTCTCAGTTCAAGGGCAAGGGGCTGATTTGTGCCATGCCAAGATGAGAGTTTATACAAGAACTACGATTCCAAGGGTTTAGAAGGAAAGACTGGTGAGATTTAGGAGGGAATACTTGGAAATAGAGCCTTTTCTGTGCTGTCTCTGTATCAGCAGAATTTTTATCCCCAAAAGACAAAAATGACATGGCATGTCTGACACGGTTCCCTGAGCTAGTTTCACCACAGCTGAAGCCTCTTCTCTAGACTTGTGAAAAAAGCAGCAGCGGGAGGACCCAGCTGGGTGTGTACGCATTTAGCCAAATGTGCCTTTGTATTGCTGAGTTACTACACGGAAGAGGACGGAAACACGTAGCCTCACGGATGCGTTCCCATGAGCGTATCAGCCCTTCTCTGACTGTGTCAGTGCGTGTTAGCAAGCTGGGCTTGGGAGATATCCACTGTTTGTCCGGGGCAGGAACTGTGTTGGAGAGAGCAGTACAGGTGGGAGCTGTGAAGCCAGTGCACAGCGTAATAACCTGGGTGAAGTGGTAACCATCGTCTGCCTTTTTCCTCTTTTCTGTGTGTTGTGTGGCCTGTAGATTTATTCTCCTGTTTCCTTTTTAGGCCGAACGTTTCCTGTGGATCAGTTTTTTCTGGAAGATGTGATTGCAATGACAAGGTATGAAATTGTCAAACACTCTCGGGTGTAGTTGGCCTTTGTGGTTGCACTGTGAGACTGCAGTAGTTCTGTGCATAGAGTTAAAAATCAAATCCTCTCAAATCTTCCCCACCACCTGTAGTCTCGGGGTTCTGCTAAAGCACTGACTGGAAACCATGCTTCCTGCGCTGCAGGGGTGCCTGGGATCTCATGCCAAAACAAGCCTTTCTGCGTTAGATACAACATAAGTACTGAAGAAGTGGGGAGCTTTGCCACAGAGTTAGGCAGTGCTTGTGCTTTACTTGTTTCAGTGGTGGTTAGACACTGGCAAGCAAAGGAAATTCGAAGGTAGATTTCAGCACTGAAGGAGAAAAATGCAGGGCACCAAACAATTCCTTTCTGTAAGCCCTACCTTGCAGCTCTGGTACCAGACGCTTGTTACCATTTGTAATCACTGGAGAGTCACAGCAGCTCCGATATTCCAGATGTTAAATTGATCAGCTACTGTAAATTACTAGCGGATTGTTGTTCTGAGCTGTCCAGTTAGCTGTCAAGATCAAGTTTGTAGTCCTACATGGCCTTTAAAAGACTGACATCCCAGAATGGAAGGACACTGTAACCTTGATCCTGTCTGTGGTTTTGCAACCCACTTATACAAAGTTCCTGTCAGATTTATATATAAATGCTTTTGATACCTTATCTCTGTGGCTAATTTTTAGAGACTGTTAGGCTTCTTTCCACACCACTGAATGTTTTTCTGCTGTTCAGATATGTTCTAGAGGACAGTAGTCCCTACAGGCGGAAGACGAAGCAAGAGAACAAACAGAATGGAAGACACAAAAGAACTGCATTTGAAGAAGTAGAGGAGGACCTGAGACGTGCTGGTGTTCTGGAAAGCACCGACACAGTTGTCAGAGATTCAGATCCAGACCAGAAATTAACTCTGAAGCAGCTCCTCACACGATATAAAGGCGAGCTGCTTCTTAAATCTAACAAATTGGCATGTAACATTTGCCGGCCAGCGTGGTATGTCAGTATGTAATATTGTCTGTTGAGTGCATGTGTATAATTCAGAGTTTTGTCCTTGGGAAGTTAATCAGGTCACTACCACTAGATGAGAACAGGCACCTCCTGCTAGCTTAAAAAAAAGAGAACCCATTGTCCTCTTAAATTAGAACAAACATCTCAGCTGAAAACAGTTTTTAGGATCTGAAAATGGACATTTTTCAGCTCTCTGTTTCCATCCTTTTTCAGATGCCTTGTTAGTTCCACTTTCTGTTCTGTATCTGTTCATGCGTGAGCAGCTTTGCTTAAAGCACAGCGTGTATCTGCCCACTTCAAGGAGGTCACTTCAGTGTGACAAGCCTTCTTTGAGAAATTCAGTCACTCTGAGTGGCTTAATAAGAGAGGCAGACTTTTCCATGAACTTCCCTCTCTGTCATCATCAAAATCCTCCCTGCACACCTTTATGGTGAGCCCCGCAGTGGTACTGAGGGAGAGCCATTGCTTAACAGCTTCAGATTCCCTCTGGGCAGTTACCGTTTCAGAAGATGAGGGAATCTGGGTGTCTCTCTGAACTGGTGTAAGAAAGATGGAAAGGGAAAAGAGAGAGCTTGAGAAGGTACTCCTGGAAGTGTCTGTAAGTGGCCATATGAAGGCTGTTGGTTCCTCTTGCCCCCAGTACACATGCGTGTCATTCTGCTCGGAGATGAATCCTGGTCTAGGCTGTGCACAGGGCAGGGCTGAACCCCAGTAAGGCATGAGAAGGGAAGGTCTGAAACAGAGGAAAGCATGGAAAGGGGAGTGTGACTCCTTGAGTCACCTACGGAGCTACCTGTGGTCTGAGCCAGACGCTGATTAAACCGAGGTGTGGTTGGTTATGCAGCCACACAGGTTCAACAGATCTTTTTTTCAAGAGGTGGACTTACTGTGCATTTTATTTCTTTTTCCCCAGGGGTCAGCAAGGCAGTGTTGAAAACAATGTCTGTCATGGACTTGGACAAAGTGAATCTAGAATTAATTGAAGCCTTGCTGGAGTGGATAGTTGGTGGCAGACATTCATACCCCCCAGGTGATTTCATTGTCCTTGAGGGAGAAACAAAAGTAGATTCATGGAGGCTCTGTGCTTACAGACAGCCCAAAGCTAATGTTTTGCATGCAGAGTTTCTGTAGTTACTGGGTTTGGGGGGAAAAAAAAAAGTCCTACCTGAGTAACAAAGCTTTTGATATACATGGGATGGGAAAGGTGAAAGAATGGTCTACTTGGAAAAGTCTTTGGTGAGGGACTGTTACAGCCTGTGTGGTTTTTGTTCAGTAATTGCAAAACAGAGCTGGAGTTCTGGCTTGAGCATTCTGCACACTGATAATACCTCATGCTGTCCTTCCTGTCAAGTGACTTTTATTTTTTCATCTATGTATATAGGTGCTGTGTTGATATTTTTGCCTGGTCTGGCAGAAATCAAGATGCTTTACGAGCAGCTCCAGTCTAATGCTGTTTTTAATAACAGGCACAGCAAGAGGTAAGGCCGAAAAGCTCCACAACTCTGTCTTTACCCATAAGGAAAGTGCCGTTATCCAGGGATAAATAAAGGTTATTAAATGTGTGAGACAGCTGGTGATATGAAGGTCTTGGCTGCAGTCAGGGTAATTCCTTTTCTACTGTCTAATTGGCTTGCTGGTTTTGGTTTGTCTCCTCAACTCAGGAAGGTTAGTTGTTGAAGTTCTCGGAGACCCTAGTGATGAGTGCTGTCCATCTTGTGCTCTGCACGACCCAGTGGACTGTTGAAAACTTCACCTCAGCCCTTGTTCTGTTTCAGAATGTTTGCTGAGACGCATTCAGTTCTGGTTGCATTTGGCCTTAGATTGTTACATGGAGATGTAGTTGGATCTCCCTGACTAAACGGTTTTCACACAGATGTCCATGGCAAAGTTAGCTGGAGTGATTTTTTTCCCCCCCTCCCCCCAGTCTGGCATTATAAATGGCAGATTCCAGGCTCCTCAAGAGAGGCAGGATTTCTGCTCAACATTATTCTGAGAGCTATCCCTTCTGTAAACTTCTCCACCTTCCCTTAGAACATGAGTAAGGAATATGAGCCAGCAGTGTACCCAGGTGGCCAAGAAGGCCAGTGGCATCCTGGGCAGCATCAGGAACAGTGTGGCCAGCAGGACCAGGGCAGGGATTGTCCCCCTGTACTGGGCACTGGTGAGGCTGCACCTCAAATCCTGTGGTCGGTTCTGGGCTCCTCACTACAAGACAGACACTGAGGTGCTGGAGCGTGTCCAGAGAAGGGCAGCAGAGCTGGGGAAGGGTCTGGAGCACAAGTCCTGTGAGGAGGGGCTGAGGGAACTGGGGGTGTTTAGCCTGGAGAAGAGGAGGCTCAGGGGAGACCTTATCACTCTCTACAACTACCTAAAGGGAGGCTCCAGGGAGGTGGGTGTTGGTCTCTTCTCCCAAGTGACAAGTGATAGGACAAGAGGAAATGGCCTGAAGTTGTGCCAGGGGAGGTTTAGATTGGATATTAGGAAAAATTTCTTCAGGGAAAGGATTGTCAGGCATTGGAACAGGCTGCCCAGGGGAGTAAGTGATTGAGTCACTATCCCTGGAGGGATTTAAAAGATGTGTAGACATGGTGCTTAGGAACATGGTTTAGTGGTGGACTTGGCAGTGCTGGGTTAACAGCTGGATCTTAAGGGTCTTTTCCAACCGAAACGATTCCCTGATTCTGTGTTTTAAAGGCGATATGGCAGATAGGTTTGCTGGTTTTACGTTGCTTGGAATGGCTGTGGGCAGTGTCTAGTACTGGCGAGGCAAAAGTGTGTGCAGGCAGATTATTCCCAAGAGGAAAAAGGCTGGAGATGCACTGAGCATGCTGTCGCATTGTCCTTCCAGGTGTGTTGTTTATCCACTTCATTCCTCACTGTCTAGTGAAGACCAGCAGTCTGTCTTCCTCAGACCTCCTACAGGAGTTACCAAAATCATCATCTCTACCAACATTGCAGAAACATCTGTCACCATCGATGATGTGGTCTATGTGATTGATTCTGGAAAAATGAAAGAGAAAAGGTACTGGGATTCACTCCTCAGGGCTTTGTGGTCTGGGAAACTGCTCTGTGCCTTGGGCTGCATACCTCAGCTTTCTAAAGAACTGGGAAAAACTTGAAGGAACTTGACCCGCAGGAAGGTGGCGGAAGCCAATCTAGACTTGGATTCAACTGCAGGGGTGGGAATTGTGTGTGTGCAGAGGTTGGCAGCATCTGCCTGCTTGACCTCCAGCCTGTTCACTCTGCACTTATGAACATAAGCCTGTTCCTTGCTTTCCTGTAGGTACGACCCAAGCAAAGGAATGGAGAGTCTGGAAGACACATTTGTGTCCAAGGCCAACGCTCTGCAAAGGAAAGGTCGAGCAGGCCGCGTAGCCTCAGGCGTCTGCTTTCATCTTTTCAGTAGCCATCACTATAACCATCAGCTTATAAAACAGCAGTTACCAGAAATACAAAGAGTGCCCCTGGAGCAGCTTTGTCTAAGGTGAGCTGTTTGCCTGAAAAGCCAGCGTGCGGAATGTCCTTCCTCCACCGGAATGTCCTTCCTCCACCGCAGGGAGCTCCTGCCGTGCCGTTACCAAGGTGTTTAGTTTTCTCACACTGTGAAACCAAGAAACTTGCTCTGGAGATCTGGGGCTCTGTTGGCTGGTTGCTTTGATCGTACTGTCCCATTGCCTCTGCATCCAGAAACTCCCTAATCGCACCCTACGCCAATTCTCCCTGTTCTTCCCATTCCTTAGCTCTCATCTGGTAAGTCTCCCGGAGCTCTCATCGCCGGAGGAGACGGATACATTCCTGTACTCCAGACCCATGGTAGACACTTGTCCCTTTACGTCGTCAGGTGTCCCGCGGGGCTGCTGTGCAGCGCGGCGCCGTAACGCCACAGGCAGGGTCTAGCACCACCGTCACGCAAATACTAACTGAAGGGGTGCTCCTGTCCCTGCTGTGCACCCCTTTGTACAAAAAGGAAATGAAACAATTGGGGTTTACGGTAAAATCTTTATTTTAAAGCCTAGTGTGCTAAACAGGAATGTGTTCTTACAGACTGTGAGGTGGGGTGAGGTACGCTTCCCCCAGCTGTTATTTCCCATTGCTTCCTGACTTGAAATGCACGTTACAGGCCCTCTTCTAGGGAGCGTGTTCCTAGAAGCATGTTTTCGGTTGGTTTGTTTTTATAAAAGCTTGCTCTTTTTCTCCTGTGTATGGAACTAAGCTGCTTTTTTTTCTCTTAATTATTTTTTTTTTCCCCACCTCCTTAAGAATTAAGATTCTGGAGATGTTTTCCGCACAGAGTCTTCACTCTGTCCTGTCACGACTCATTGAGCCGCCTAGAACCGAGTCCTTGCGAGCGTCAAAGCTGCGACTACAAGACTTGGGAGCGTTGACTCCAGACGAAAAGCTCACGCCTCTGGGGTACCACCTGGCTTCTCTGCCTGTTGATGTCAGGATTGGCAAGCTGATGCTGTTTGGCACCATCTTCCGCTGCCTGGATCCTGCACTGACGATAGCAGCCAGCCTGGCCTTTAAGTCTCCTTTTGTAAGTGCTGACTGCGTGCCCCGCTGTGAAAGCGGCGTGTCTCCGTGCAGCCGACTGCACCCGAGCGTGTACTCTCCCTCGTAGCTTACAGTGGCTTAGCCTACGCTGTTCACGGGGTGCTCGTTAAAAGTCCCGTTAGGAGCAGAACACCAAAACCATGCAGCAGTGAGTAGAATGTTATTTACATGATGAGCGAACAGCAGAGACAGAATGGATAACAGCTTTGATTTGAACCTGGAAATGCAGCCACTCCGTTTTGTCCCAGGGTGGTGCAAAAATGGAAAATGACTGGGAATCCAAGAAGCAACCAGAACTAACGATGAAAGAGTGATAACTACGGAGCGGACCTGTCTGAGCTGTGAATGCAGAGTTCATTCTGGATTTCAGTTTGTCTGCTTTGGCTTTTTTGAGTCAGCTGCTGGGCTTTACGGGTGCTCTTACGGCCATCAGTCTTCTGCTGCGATGTAGGCGCTTGCGTGGGAGGTCAGGCGTCAGGTTTTAATTGCTGTCCTCAGTAGGGCAGACGGCTCCTGTTGAGGGTAGTTGTGAAAGATTTAGAAATAGATTGTTGTAGTTACTTAACTGCATATTGGTTTTCATGTGCTTATTGGGCAGCATTCCCTACAGCACTTTGACTTTAGGTGCTACAAGTTTCTATGCTGATGCAGAATAACTTAAACCCAGCTTTTTGAGTGGCCTGAGTCACTGTTGCCCTCTGTCTCTCAGACCCAGGTTGATTTCAGACTTGCTGTGCTCCTCTTCTCTGTACAGGAATTCTTATTTGCGCTTCAGCTCTGTTAACTTGCTGAGATTTGCCCTGTGGTGTTTTTTCATGGACCTTGGCATTCTGCAGCTGCACAGAGATCCGCCCCAAATGAAGTATTTTCTGTGAGCTGGTCAGATTTACTTTTGGATCTCTTGGGCTCAGACAGGGCAATGGGCTTAGGTGCTCTGCTGTTCACTAGGTATTATTTTTAATGCCTCCTAGTTCTGTTATCCATGGAGACAATTTGCATTCTGACCCGGGAGCTGCTGTGAAAATACCACAGATGGTGCACCATGCAGCACTCCCAAGGGCCCCTCTAAGATGTGAGGGGAAGAACATGCCTAACCTGTCCTGTCTCTCCAGGTGTCGCCATGGGATAAAAGGGAAGAAGCAAATAAAAAGAAGTTGGAGTTTGCAGTAGGAAACAGTGACTACCTGGCTCTTCTCCAGGCCTACAAGGTGAGCTGAAATTCATGAGCCTCCCTGAGGCTTGTGATGTGCTTGAAAGTCAAGCTGAAATGGTGTATTCAAGGTTTCCTCCCACCCTCTCAATTAGGGATGGCGTTTAAGTATCCAAGAGGGCTGCCAGGCCAGCTACAACTACTGCAGGGAGAACTTCTTGTCAGGAAGGGTTCTCCAGGTAAGTCTGGTTTCGTGGTCTTGCCCAGGGGCTGGTTGAGACACCGGCAGGGTCCTAGTGAGGAAAGCAGGCAACTGGAGAAGGCTGTCCTCGCTCTGTGTGACACCCTCTGTCTGCAGGAAATCGCCAGCCTGAAACGGCAGTTCACGGAACTGCTTTCTGACATCGGGTTTGTGAAGGAGGGATTAAGAGCCAAGGACATGGAGAAGAAGTGGTCCCAAGGCGGCGATGGCGTGTTGGATGCCACAGGAGAAGAGGTAACTCACAGCATTTTAGCGCTCCAGACAACACTGCGGCTTTGCCTTTGGCCTGGGTGCCCGGGAGGCTCTGGACCGGTGGACTTCCGGCCACGGCCTGGCTTTGTAATCGCGCGCTGGCAACAGCTGCCGCTGCCTACCACTCTGTTCTCCCTCCCAGTACGTCGCGCAGGCTGGCGCTGACCTCCACTGTGTGAGGCTCTGCGGGCCCAAACGCCAAGGGAGCTGAAACCTGCTCCTTGCAGCAGTGAGACGCGGCTGACTTGACACGTCAGAAATCAGCCAGCGGTGGAAAGGCAGGGGTCTGACCTGTGGCCTGTCCCACTGTTGGAATGAGCGCCAACCTTATGTTGGGAATGGCATTACCTTACCTAGCAGGCAGTGAAGCACTTCAGCATCGCGGACATTCTTCCAAAAGCGGTACCTCTGGAGCCAGAGATCTCCTGGGGCTGCACAGCGAGGTGACAGGCGCATGGTGGTTGAGGAGTCTCACCGTGTGCTGGGACTGCTGGGGCTGGCTTTCCCGCGGGGGCGTGCCGCACTGGAGGCAGGCCTTAGGGAATGGTTAGGTTCAGCACCAACTGCATCGAGAGAGATGGTGGCCAATTTGCTCCATTGGTCGCGGGGAGGAACACAGCCCACATCTAGCCTGTGACCTTAGGAGCAGTAACTGGGCCTCCCCATAAAGCACAGCAGTGCAGCTCTAAAAGTAAACCGGTTTTGGGAACTCATTCATTCCAGGAGCAGGGCTTTGCCTGTATGGAGTCACCTGTAGAACGCCTAACGCACGCGTTCATTTCACAGGCAAATTCCAACGCCGACAACATCAAGCTGATCTCGGCTATGCTGTGTGCTGCACTGTACCCCAATGTTGTCCAGGTAAAAGAATGCTTTTTTCATTTTCCCTTCTGCTGTCGAGCGTATCCGCACGGCCTGCCTGCAGTCTGGTCCGATTGCGGCAGCCTCGAGCCGGGCTCGGTTTGCCAAAGCCTGCTGCTCGTAGTGTTAGAGCCAAGAGACGGGCTGGGGTTGGTATCGCTGAAGACTGCCGCCGTTCCTACGGGCCGGTTGGAGCGTCAGGCAAAAGCTGGCAGCAAATACACTTACGAAACTGCTTTAGATCACAGCTTTGGAGAAGGATGAGGTTACAAATGAAAAATCAGGGTTGGACAGCATCCGCCGTGTCTGTCTCTAGTGACTTCACATGGTACTACTTGGGTATTTCTGGTTTTGATAAAATTAAAACCTAAGTTACAGCAGATTTTTATACCTTTTTAATCTTACCATGCAGGTGAAAAAGCCAGAGGGCAAATACCAGAAGACCAGTGCAGGAGTGGTCAAAATGCAACCAAAAGCAGAAGAGCTGAAGTTCGTTACCAAAAATGATGGTTACGTTCACATTCACCCTTCATCTGTGAATTATCAGGTCAGGGTTCTTTTTTTCTGCAAAGCGTGCTCTTTTTTGTAAAAGAAATCACCTTTGCTTGAGCAGCTGAGCTTACAGTAAGGGTCCCTGGTGATGTTTAGAAAGATCTTCATGACTGCACCGTCCCGTTAGAACTGTGAATACCCATGGGTTCCTGAGTGGAGAGTGTCCTCTGGGCACACGGTTAAACTCCAGCCTCTGGGGTGGAATTAGCAGCTGCAGTAGCTCCCCCATCCCCGTTTCATTCAGCCACACGCCGTATGCGGGGGTGGCAGCGCTCCCCGGCTTCTCCTCTGTATCGACTGAGATGGTGCACGTGTGGCACCGTCCAGCGCGCAGGGGACTCCTCCCCACCGCCCCGTCCCAGGCGTGGTGTCTTCAGCTGGAGTACTATTTATTGGTAAATAGCTCAGGGGTATGCTCTGGTTTGTTTCTTCCTGGGCCCTCAGACTGAAGTGCAATTCCTTTCCAGCTTAATAGCGAATACTTAGCTGAGAGCTCTGCCGTCTCTGCCGTGGTGTATGGTAACGTCTGTCTCAGGGAGGGCTGTTCCGCTATTTGACACTTCGTTGCTCTTCCAGGACATAAATTAGTCGCTTTCAAAAAAGTGGGGGTCTGATCATTAACCACTTACTTGGGTTAGAAAGGTTTTGAAGTGTTCATTGCTCTTCCCTTGACAGAGCATAGCAAATGCAAAAGAAAGCAAAGAAGGACTTGGGGTGGATGAAAAG